CCCAGCGACTGAGAGTGTCCCAAGAGTCAGAAGATCAATGACAAGTAGGAGCTGTTTGTCGTCTGTTTCTTCCGGAATTGGGGCAAACTTGTTCTCTAGGTCAACAAGCATAGTGCTAATAGTTGAGGCAACTCTGAAGAGAGCATCGTGATATTCCCGGTACAGTTGATGAATCTATACTAATGAGTTGGCAAATGATCTTGTAACGGGCTGAGCCCTAGGTCACATGACTAGGCCGCTGGCCTAGTCGCTTCCTTCCTTCTATCACTCTTTCCGCAACTGCACGTGGGCCGTGCGTCAACCCAAACAAAGGTAGGATGGCCGACCACTTTCCTCTTCTTCTCCTTATCTCGACTGTAAATAGCATCCGGACTAGGTAGCTGGAATACAGTACCTACAAACCGTTCACAGAGCTGTGCTGCAGGCCCTGAAGTAGGACCATCCATACTCTTTGTACATTCAATAGCAATGTCGCAGTTAAGGTTCTCGATCTTTTGACATTCGACGTTCGCACTGACGTCGAAAGTATCTGAAAGCGATTGAGAAAATGTGTCAGATATAATGAGATATTGCACAAAGGGGGGGGGGGGGGGGCACAGAAACGTGAGAAGTAGATAATGCTAGGGTGATGATATCGAAGATGAGCTCGTTCGGTAGGTCCAGAAGGGTCCGCGTTTTTCTGGTTGCTATTTTCGGTTTGAGGATGCTTGAGGATCTAGTCATGTTCCGACAACCCTTGATTTGAGGTAGCCCAAATATATAGTGGGGTAGCTCGGGTGGCGCTCTAGTTATACGTCACTTTGTTATGCTGACTTCCTCCCATACGGCTTCGTCGGTGCAAAACAAGATTTTGCCCACTCTCATTGAAGCTTTGTCCCTATTGCTAGAGCTCAGCCACTGGTCGATGTAGTCTTTCATAACGCCAATATAACGCTGTGCTTTCGTGGGAGCAACAGAATATAGCCGATTAAAGTCAAGATGTGCAAGACCCTGAATTTTCCGGTGTGGCACTTCTGTTCCACTGAGTAGCCTGTTCCCGTCTCCATACCAGTTCGTGTTGATACGGATAATCAATGTATTGATTCGAGTTATGCCCGACTTTCCGACTAGCTGTTCTGGAGATGGATGTGCCAGGTAATCGCGTATTGCATATTTGGTATAGGAGTCAACTTGTTTGTTCTCCAGGAAGCTGTACAATAGGTCCACTAGCGAGGCAACAGTGCTGCAAAGGTCTCTTTCATACCCACCAGTTTGTAGATAACGGTCATCCGGGGTGCAGCAAGGTATGAGATTAATTTCAACCTTGTCCAAAATGGTGTTGTGTTTCCATACTGGCAGGCTTCGTGCTGTTGGCCAAATCCAATGATCACTCACAATTGCGATGTCGAGTTCTAGGGTTTGTGACTTGTCCAACCTCGATAGGTAAAGTTTGGTCTCCAAGTAAAGCCTTCGGTTCGTTAGAAGTAGACTCATCGGCCTGGGTGTCTTTTTGGCGTCTGGGCCGGGAAGGCAGTAAACTCCGCGTTCCAATGGCGGCCGGTAACGGATCCTGTCATCATGAAAATTGACAGGTATCGTCAGCGCGTGTTCGATGACTGTATAGAGTAGCTCGTTCGGAAGGTCTAACAATCCCCTCATGGCTGAATGGGCGGGACGTTGTAAGAATGGCGTGGATGTTTTTGCACAGAAGCTTGGGTGAGGGTTTTCTGCCTAGTACTGATATTTTGTTGAGTTGAGAACCACGGTTGAGATCAATCGAGCCAAGGCTTTATTCAACACGTCATGTTTTCTGCCTCAGGTCGTAACCTCCTTACCCCACATCATCAAAGGCTCTTGGTGAAGTGCCTCGTGATTTGCCTGTCCACTCCCATCTTGTGATCTATTGAACCGTAGTATAATGCGTTTGACAATGTTGCGTCTGGCAGCGTCATACATGGCTGGCATAAGGTGTCATCGGCCCGTCTCATGTGGCGATGTCATGATTGAACCATAACCGGTTAGCGTGCATGAGTCACTTTCGCTCACCGGCTGCGCCTTGCGCATGAGCTGAGCAACACCTCTCGGAGTCATTGCATTCCCTGTTTGGGAATTCGACGGATGCATGAAGTGGACTTGGAAGTTTCAGAATGTTCATCGTATAATATAAGTATTTCTGCACGCATACCCATCTAATCAAGCTCGAGTTCTTCAACACTACTTTTCCTTCTTATGCAGGATACCCATTTGCAGTCCCTTTCATTGAAAAATTATCTCATTACATTTCCTACGCGCCAAGTTATGGCTGCTACCGACAATTCCTCGACACCGACACGAATGTCGATTACATCTTACGACACAGCCCTATGTGTTATTCCACCTAGGTCGCAATGCGGCTACATTGACCAATTGCGAGAACTCTACGACAAAGCTTATGGGAGATGGCCGCCGCATATCAACCTCGTATATCCCTTCGTTTCGCCCGAACATCTTCCACAAGCCCAACAACAAATTCAGGATTATCTGGCAGGACATCGCGACTCGGCTGATCCCATCGATGCGGCACTGGTTCAAGCGGGGTGCTTCACACAAAAGAACAAATATACCGTGTTCCTTTCAGAAGATGGCAGTAATCCACCTTCGCCTCTAGAGTCTTTGCGTACAATGGTTCTGCAAGCTTTAGGTCAGGGCCCTGCTCGATCTACTTTACACTTGAGCATCGGTCAATCGCAGGACAACACCATGTTTTCGCGATCGTACCTCCTGGAGAAGGCACGATTACTACCAGAACTCAAGTTTCGAGTTGGAACGCTTGCTATCTTAGTACGCGAACGAACAACTGGTTCGGATGCGACTGATCACATGCATCTTTACGGCACTATTGATCTTGGCTCTTCAAGCGATACCTGCATATCTCCCACTTCAGACTATTGGGTTGAACCCATCCATTCAGATCTGAAACCAACGGATTCAACAGAGGATAACATCGATCAGTCTACCCGACAAGACAGTGTAGCATACGATCGCGGCGTACAAGCTGGATCAGCTTACTGCTTCGATGACAACGAATACAAGTGGTCAATCTACACAGATGGAGATGACAGCGAATATGATGTGGAAAGCCTAACAGTCTCGAGCTATAACGTCTTGATAGATACCGAGTATCCACCAACACACGATCGCGACCCATCGCTTGTGCGTACCATACTATCTGATTCAGCAATGGCCGATATCCTGGTACTGCAGGAAGTTTCAGATGACTTTCTCACCTACCTACTGGGTGATTCGGAAGTTCAGCGGAGATACCCATTTGCCTCACATGGCCCACCCCATCAGCCCGATATTGGACCTCTTCCTAGTCTGAGGAACATCGTTATCCTCAGCCGCTATGCTTTCAGCTGGAAGTCTGTGCCTTTCCATCGCAAGCATAAAGGTGCTCTTGTCGCAAGCTTTAGGGCATCTTCACAT